AGATGTAACCGGAAGATAACACGTTGGCCCTTCTGTGCTAGTAGGAGGCAGACGAAGCCATGGGGGGATGAGGTCTCCCAGGAGAAAGGAAGCAGCAAACAATGACCTCCAAAGCAAGAGGAGACATGAAATACACTGGGGACGACTGATCGGAGTGCTAGGAGGGTGCCATCTAAAGGGCTGGAGGCCCAGGTTCCCAGGCAGATGGAAGGAAGGGGCCAAACCAGGAATGGACCAAGAGCTCAGACAGAACTGAGACTTTAATCTTTTCTGGAATACTCAAGTTAATGTTTAAATTGCTCATGGTTATAAATCAATGCACAGTGCTCCGTTCCTGGCCATTGCCTTTCCTTCCATGCTGAAGGTTAGTGAGCTGCTGGGAGGCACTGGTGTGGGCCATGGATGGGGTCTGTGAGCGGCTGGGCCCGACCAGACTATCATTAAATACAGCCTTTGTAATGCAATCAGATTGTAAGTTCCTGTTGATACTATGGAATGATATTTGTCCTCATTCCAGTGTCACTCCAGGATCCTGGTGAAGAACTGAGGTGAGGGTAAGGTGTATAGTGGAAATGTAGAAGAGGTTTAAAAAGCCTGTGTTTTGCACCTTACCTGCACTTCATCAAAGAGGGTCCTTGCCTGTTGCAGTGGTATTAGGACACTTCCAAGAGCACTCACGGGAAGATAGGACACTTCAACCAACCATTTACGAAGCTTCTCTGCCATCTCCCTGTATCGCTGCCACTGGCGAATCTGGCTGTCGATGATGCCCCTCCTCTGTTGGGCCCTGCGAATCACTCCCTGCCACTGATTGCTGAGAAGTGTCAATTTCAGGTTGAATTCGTCCCTGGTGCAGAAATAATTACACAGGGAGGAAACATTGTTACCCTGGATGCATTTACATATAAGTCATGTATATACACAATGTATATACACTTGATGACCCTAATGAGCCCTGAGAAGTGATTTAGGGCAGAGGTTTTCAAATATCACACCATGGTCTTTTATCAGGTCTGTTTCAAGTAATTTTTAAAATTAATAACTATTGGTTTCTGCAAACAGTGAGTATTTTCATGTCTCAGCACAGGTTAAAGGCATATCTGTAAGGTCACTAATTATTTCCTGCCTGAATGCAGAAGTGGGGAGAGAGCACAGGGTAGCAGATTCAGTGGGAAGGGGCCCAAACAGTGTATGCAGCAGGTGACAGCATCTTGTGAGTGCTACAGTGAGAGGGAGAAAATCAGGACCAGGGAGCCTGGGTGGCTCAGTCAGTTAGGCGTCTGCCTTCAGCTCAAGTCAGGATCCCAGGGTTCTGGGATTAAGCCCTGCGTTGGGTTCCCTGCTCAGTGGGGAGTCTGCTTCTCCCTCTGCCCTCTTCCCCTGCCTGTGCTCTCTGTCAAATAAATAAATAAAATTTAAAAAAATAAATAAAATCTTTTTTAAAAAAGAAAATGAGAACCAAACTTTTTTATAAACCTCCATCTTCAGCCGGAATTATAACACATTTCAGCTAGAATCATAAGCCACTTAAATAAAACCATGTTATTTAAAAAAAAGTTTTTTAAAGATTTTTATTTACTTATTAGAGAGAGATCACGAGTGGGGGGGATGGCGTGGAGGAGCAGAGGCAGAGGGAGAAGCTCCATATTCCCTCACAATAAACAGCTCTAATCTTTAGCGAATTATTCCACATATTAATCTAAATTGTCCCTTTTACATTTTAAACCTACTTCATTTTGTTCTTAGAAAAATGAAAACTATGTAGTCATCACTGTCTGTATGAAGGCTGTCCACATACTTAGTAAATTTTACTTAAGTGTTCTCAGTTTCAGGCTAAATAATCTCAGGTCTTTTAGTTTGTCCTTTCTACCTCTGTGTTTTCTACCTTTAAAAAATGTTGGTAGTTTTTTAGGAAGTTTTCCTTAACATTCAATTTGTAGCTCTAGAACTGATTTGTCCAGTATCAAATAGAATGAGTTTCTTTGTAAATTAGGGTGTTATTCACATTTTAATATTAAAGTGTAACATTAATTGTTTTTCTCTATTGTGTTAGTTTTGTTTTGCTTCCTTAGATACACAATTCTCTCCTTTGAGGGTGGCTTCAAATCTGAGGTGAACTTAACTCTTGTGGACTCCTATATCGTTGACATGTCCTATCATCTAGGCCTACTCTAAACCTTGGTTCTGTAACTAAATGTGTTACTGGTGCTTCTGTTTTTGAAAGGAAATTCTGATGTTAATAATCTAATTGCAGTAGAATTAAATGTGATGAATTAGGTTTATGAAACTGCCCTAGAAGTTACAAGCATCTATCATCTCTGAAGACACCTCACTCCAGGACTTGAGAATGTCCTACAACAGGGAAAGTGCCCCACACACTGCTTTTCCATCAGGCCACTATCCAAGATCTCTTTGGAGCCCTCGCCCTTACTTTCTGTAGAGCCCAACTGTCCTGAGCCACCTGCCAGCCCGCGGAAGTACTTAACACATGATGTGGTTCTCATGGCTGAACTTGAACCCTAAAACACAAAACTTATAAACAAACGTTTAAAACACAATACATTTGTAATCTGGGGCCTTCATGCTCTAATCTGAATATTTTTCTTCTCTTGCAATTTTCAGAAGCATCCTCAGTCCAAACCTCCCATTTTCCTCTCTTCAGTGTTTCTCCTTAACTGTTAACATTTACAATTTAATAGATGTTAGCTTGTACGGGAATTTTAAATTTTATTTTACTTACTGGCTTAAACTTTTATAATACTTTTATAGAGTTGACCAAGGGAGGATAAGAAAAAGTTAATTGCATTTGAATTTGTTTTATTTTGAGGGCCTTAAATCCTCAGTAAAGCTCACGTTTAAGTTTGGCTTACTTTGGAATAGAATAAATACGGTATCACATTTTGTTGTTCCAAGCTTAACCATGAAAATCTTTCATGTTACCTCCAAAGAAATATCCTCTTAAAACTGAAATTGCTTCAAAATGTTAAAAAAAAAACCTCTTAACGAAAACAGTGATTAATGTTCTTTTTTTTTTTTTGGAAAAAAATACTAAGTTAATTATAATCACAGTTACTGGTCCTTGATACGGGAAAGATGTTCTTATGTAAATGTATAAGTATCAATGAGGTTTATACTCCAAATATCACTACATAAGGTAGATGGGGTAGACTAGATATTGTTTCTAGGAAATGTAAATACAGCACGAAATCAGCAATTCACATACAGGAAGTCGAAAGAGGAGCTAGATTTTACCTCTTCGTTTTCAATAAAGAGGTAATCTGCTAAGTAAATGAAGAGGAGGCAGAATTTCAACGTGTCAGAGTGTCATCTGACTTAAGGTGGCAAACCATTTTCAAGCCTGGAATTACCATGGTGTGGGAAAGCTGGCTGGTCCTGACTAAAACCCAGATATACAATTCTGTGGCTAGTTGAATGACCTTGGTCATATCAGTTGGCATTTCTGGGCCTCAAGTTTTCATCTATAAGTAAGAGAGATAATCTAGTGATCTCTGTGCTCCTTTGAGGAATAGAATTTCTGTAACTGTATGAGATGAGTAGAAGCATCTGTTTACAAACCATTGATACATCATTAATACAAGTTGTTCTGATCTATTCATTAATTCCAGTCTCCTGCAGAGGTCTGGAGAAGGTTGGCTAGGTGATTTCCAATTACTCTATGTCCTTCATGTAATATAATAGCAGTTCTTTAAAAAGATTCAATACTCAGCCGTTTCAGTGATTCAGACAAGCCTTTCCTCCAATTACTGAGGCTCCACTGCAGTACAATTGCCTGAGGAAGATTAGACATATGCCCTCTAATCGGCTCATTAAAAAGAAAATGACTAATTTACTGAAACCTTTCTTCATAATAATGTATCAAAGATCCTACCTGTCATCAACTTGACCTTGTTCTAGAAGACGCTGCCCATCAATAATGATCGAGTGCAAAATCTGCTGGCGACTGAACATCTCTGCTTGAAACAACTATTATTTGAAAAAACAGAAAAACATACTTTTAGAGTTCCCAATTTTAGTGACCAGTTTTCTAGTAACTTCCCCAAAATTCTGGTTTAAGCAAGGCTTTGAAAAATATTTCCAGTCGTATCAGGATATGTGTGAAATCCTGAAGTATATCCAGAATGTATTTTTAAACAATCAATTAAGATATACTTAACGTTTAGTTTTTGCTTACAAAAACTAAGTGACTAAAAGTAGAATTATGTTTCCCTTCTTTCAAAATCACCTAATAACACTGGTTAACATGTAATTTGTATTCTTGTTTATTTTCAGGTAGAAAATAGCTTAAGACCTTTCAGAAAGTTGAAAAAGATTTAAGAAACCCCACATTTTTCTTTTCTTTTTTATCCGAACTCACTGTTTTTTAATCTAATTTGGTTGATAAAATTATTTCATTACAAATTCAACAAAAAGTTTTTCAAATTATTTCTACTATGTTTTAAACAATTTTATTGAGATATAATTCAGATACCTTACAATTAACCTATATAGAGTGTATAATTTAATGACTTTTAGTATAGTTGTAGACTTGTGCAACCATCACCACAATTGATTTTAGACCAAAAAGAACTCCACACTCAGTGATCACTCTCCATTTCTTCCCAATTCATGAGCACCAGGTAACCCACTAACCTACTTTCTGTCTCTACAGATTTGCCTACTCTGGACATTTCATGTAAATGGAATCATGCAATGTACTGTCTTTTGCGACTGGTTTCTTTCCACTTAGCATTATGTTTCCAACGTTGATCCATGTGCAGGATGCATCATCTCCACATTCCTTTTTATTGCTGAGTAGTATTTCACTGTACAGACATACCAATTTTATTTATTCGTTCATCAGCTGATGGATATTTAGGGTTGTTTCCATTTTGGGCTATTATAAATAACACGGCTATGAACAATATTCTTGCACAAGTTTCTGTGGACAAATATTTTAATTGCTCTTGGGTATAAAGCTAAGAGTGGAACTACCAGGTCATATGGTAACTCTGTTTAATATTTTGAGAACTGCCCAACTGTTTTCCAAAGCAGCTTCACCATTTTACATTTCCACCAGCAATGTATGAGGATTTCAATTCCTATATACCCTCATCAATACTTGCTGTCTTTTTCACTATAGCAATCATAGTGGGTATAAAGTGATATCTCAATGCAGTTTTGATTCATTGTCTTTAATTCCATCTTCAGTCAACTCGATAAAATTGGACTTAAAAATACCTTACACATAGTTAAAGCCTCTATTTTTAAAATTTAAGCAGGGCGCCTGGGTGGCTCAGTTGGTTAAGCGACTGCCTTCGGCTCAGGTCGTGATCCTGGAGTCCCGGGATCGAGTCCCACATCGGGCTCCCTGCTCAGCAGGGAGTCTGCTTCTCCCTCTGACCCTCTTCCCTCTCATGCTCTCTATCTCTCATTCTCTCTCTCTCAAATAAATAAATAAATCTTTAAAAAAAAATAAAATAAAATTTAAGCAAAATGCTTTAAAATTAGTTTCATTCTACGTTCCTTTAAGCTTTTCTCTGCTTTTAGGTAAATCCTATTTCTCCATTTGTGTATACTTCAGAAACATGTGGGCCAATGTGGTTATAAAAGTGAACAGCAAAATTGAGACAAACAGCAAATTAATTAATTTGCTTTTTGTATCTAGTTCTCTCTTTGGTGTTTCTTAAGAAATAATTATAATGCCATTTGATCAGGAGGTACTCTTGGAGGTATTTGATAACTTGATTTCCAAGTATAAAATAATGGGTATTTTTTTTTACAGAACACTCAATTTTCATTTATCAAAGACTTGTGATCAAAGCATAATCGCTCAAGCAACTAGCCTTGGCAATATTAACGTAGTATGTAACTCAACTTGAAAATTGTCTAACTTCCTGCATGCCTTCCACACACACCCGATTCCCCCCACACATCCTCCATAAGTAGACTTTTACCACAATTCTGGCAGTATACATTGCAGGATATTGAAGGCTGCCACATTTTTAAAACCAACTATGGAAGCAAAGAACTGGACCACATTCAAGCTTAAGAAAGAAGGCAGAACAATGCCTACACGTGAGCAGACTCAGCCCAAGATACAGTGCCTGAACTCCTTCACATGGCATTGTACAGCCTTTTCCAAAGACTGAAAACTGTTTTACTACCCAAAAACCTACCGGCATAACTTACCTCATGGGCTCTCTGCTGCTCCAAAAGATGCTGATAGTTGCCTGAAATCTCGACGGCTAACTTTTGTTCCGTTTGAACAAGGAATTCCATCCATGTTTCACATTTTTCCAAGAAAGTCTGGTGTTGCAGCAAAAATGACTGCAACTTACTGACAAAACAAAGGAAAAAGAATAATGATTACATTGTTGTTTGTTAGTTCTTATATTGTCAGCATATAAAACCAGATTAAATAAATATCCTCTGCCTCCAGTTTTAATTTGACCACCACAAAGCTTTCAATGTTAGGTAGTAAATTTTTTTAAAAAAGAATAAAAGTTTAAAATGGTAGGTTTTCAAAATGATAAAATTATGTATGTACCTTTAATATATTCTTATGAAAAAGAGTTTTTTTTTTCTTTTTTGTTAAAACACTATTTCGTACATCAAGCATGGGAAACCATTTCACAATCTGAGTTCGCCACTTCTAGTTCAAATTTTGTGAGTATCACTTGGAAGACTTGGAATTTATAAATATGCACAAACCATGCACTTATATCACCCAAATATCTCTTGGTTACTCTACCTGAATCTTTCTGTGGTCTGAGAGGAGATCAGAGACCAGTGTCGGTTCAGGTTCTGCATCCTTTTGATTTCTTTATCATTCAGTGGTAGCCTATATCCAAGCTCATTCAGACGGTCTAGGTCAGGTGCCATGCTGCTGAATTTTAGCATCTGCCCCTGGAAGCAAGATTTAAAAGCCAGTTTAGCACTATGGTCAGAAAAGGCAGAGTTCTTTCAAACTGCACAGTGACCTTCTGATTTCAGGAAGAAGTAGGTCTTTGGTCTCTCCTGCATTTCTAGGCCACTGACTTGTCATCTCCAGAGCTGCAAATAAAGAAGAGCTGTGTCTCCTAACCCATTCCCCTGTTGCTGCCCCCACTGCCACAGCTCCTCACTAGCTTCCACTGAATGTTAGCAGTTTACGTGAATTACTTACTTGCTGATGGATGAAAATCATGCTGATGACTGAAAAGGCTTATTTCTTACCCTTTATATTCCATTTGTCTATGCTAATCTGCTCCTTTATTATCTAATAACAATAAGAATATTTATAATGGTAACCATTGTAGTAGTAATAGCTAACGTTTCTTGAGCACTTATAATGAACCAAATAATACTATAAGAGCTTTACAGGTAATAACTCATTTTATTTGCAAAACAATCCCCTAAGGTAAGTACCATGACTATTCCGACTTTATGAAGGAAAAAAAGAGGCTCAGAAATGGGAAGTGAATTGTTTACGGCCACCCAGCTAGTAAGTGGTAGAGCTAGATAAACAAGAGCCACTGAGTGCTTGCTAAATGAATGCGATCCCTTTTGAGCTTTGATGTCACCACACATTATCCTAGCAGCTTCAGTTTTAGGTCCTTGGCCCCAATCCCAAAGTTGGTGAGACTCGGCTGACAAAGCTTTCAGAGTTCCTCTTTCCCTTTAAACACAGGACAAAGCTGTCTCTTCTGGTTTTCCTGTGGGCATTGTAACTCCACCTAGGAAACTGGCTATAGGAAGAGGAAAATGGCAGGACACCTTTGGCTGTGTGTGTTTTCTCTTTGCATGCTCTGAAATAGGCTCATTACCATAAAGACAGAATAAATCTTTCCAACTGTTGAAGTCAAAAGCGTAACAACAGCCTTGGCAGATGGCAGAATTTTCATGGATAGATATCAGCCGTGAACAAAACTGACAGGCAGTGGTCCTTCTCATGGGGCTTCCAGACAGTGAGATACTATTCCAGCAATACTATTCCACAATAGTAGTCACCTAATCACATGAACGTAATTAAATGGTATGTAAAAAATTTTGAAGAAAAAAAAATAGTGTGCTATGAAAGTGTGTCATGGGCAGCCTGACCATGAACAAAAGGGGAAGCTTTCTTAAGAGAGTGACAGTGAACAAAATGAACAAAAGTTCGTTCCTTTTGGTGGCAAGGGAGTTGGTGCAGACAAAAAATGAATTCCAGAAAGAGGTGACATTATACACACAGATGCTAGGAAAGTACTGTGATGGACACTGAGATGAACAGGGGTGAAGACAAGACCCTTAGGAAGACGGAAGCCAGGTCCACTGGGCATGAGAATCCACACTGGGTTTCACCCTGACAGCACCCTGAGGAACCTGTGGAGGGTCTGAAGCAGAGGAATAATGTGATGAAACTGGCATGTCTATTGTTATCGTTTTATTTACTGAATGTTTAAGATAGTTAATAAGTAAGTAAAACCCTTTAAAAGCAAAAGATCATTCTGGTAGCTGTGGGTTGGAGGGGTTGGGGTGGATGCACAGAGGGCCATGGAGGCTGTTGCCAGGGTCCGAGACATAGGCAGCTTGCCTAGGAGTGGACGAGGGTAGAGATGGAGATGGGAGGCTCAAGGGCTCCGAAGGAGGAAGTGACCCACTGGGCAGGGGAAGGGACGAGAGGTGGGAAGAAGGAGTGAGCTGGAATCCTAGGACTGCCCCTGGCCAGCTCCCATCCAGGGTGTGAAATCAGTGTGTGCATGGCAGCAAAACAGAGCTGGCAAGGGTTTCTTTGGAAGCTCAAAATAAAAAGCAGGCCTATGTCAGGAGTTGTGAGTATTCCTTAAGATTTTGAGGACGAATGCTACCAGATCTAGGCCTAGGACTGGAATGTACTTACCTTAAGTTCTTCCATCCTTTCCTGGATGGTTGAAAGGTCAGACGAGTGGCTAGGGTCCTGCCCTTGTAATATTTCCTCAGCTTCTACTACCCAGGCTTCCAACGCTTCCAAGCTCTTGGTAAAGGTTTCATAGTCAAGAACTCCAGCCTTTTTTTTTCCCCACAAAAGAAAATAGGTATTTAGATATCTAATGAAAGGGCAATTGGATACTGAAATTATTTTTCATATTCTTGTGTCAAATTTCCATCCTCAAGATGCCATAACTAAAGAAACAAGGCTACATGATTTAACCTTTCTTCTCTTTATTCATGTAATTTTTTGAAAACTTAGAATTACTCCTAGGTACCATGCATTAATTGACCAATTAAAGTCATTTTTAAAATATACTACCAAACAGAGAAATATTTTGATTCTTGGCAAAAACTTGTTCTATAAACATGAATGTCAACACTAAAGCCATTTGGTACTTATTAGTCGAATGTATTTTACTCAGTATCATAGAAGGGAGCACTGCTTTAGGGGCAAAATCATATTGCAAAGAATAGTGTAAGACTCCCACCTTCCCTTGTCCTCATTGGAACTTCCAAGTTCACTTACTTTTTAATTCTTTGGTCTTGAAAGAGGTGTTGTCTCAATGATGAAAAAATTTTCTTTTTCTGTGCTTAGGCTCAGATGTTACAGAAAGCCAATTTATAACACATCCCGAATATGAGCTCTGCAACATACCTGTAACATAGTCTGCTGCTTGCAAAGAGCCTGCTCTAGGGCACATAGGTGCTGACTCAAAGACAGCTGATCAGATTGAATGGCTGATGCTGCCGAAGCATCCACTTGTTGCTTGAGCTGCTCTCCCAGCTCATGGAGAACAAAAAGGGAGTCCTTCACTGTCCCCAGTCCTTTGAGGAGGTCCTACAGATGATGAAAATATGTCTATTATGAAAAAACATGGTAAGTGTACTCCTTAAATTGATAATCAGCAAAGGACCACACATCTGGAAACACTCAATTCTTACTTATCAAATTATTACACTAAATAACCTTCACCTGCAGAAAAATCATGAATTAAATCTGACTTTCAAAAATGGATGTGTGTTAACATTTTTAGAGATACATGTACTATTCTTATAATAAAAGCCACATAGGTTCACTGTAGGACATTGGGGGAAATGCAGAGAAACATACATAAGAAGAAACATTATCTACAAGCAGAGCCAATAACTGGAAATATTTGGGCAGGTTTTTCCTATCCTTTCATGTAGTTGATATCAAATCAAAAACATAATGCTACATTCCACCTTTTCTTGCTTAATATTATACAGAAGGGATGAGTTTGTCAACAGTATCTTTTATACACATGGCTGCATTAGAGTGATTACAGCAGATCTTCCTATCTCAGTGGAGCCTAGAACTCCAGCAATGGCCCTGGTGAGCAGGGACTGAAGCAGACTGTATCTCCATTCTTTTCCATGGCTTCTCTGCCCTTCACTTTTTGTGGGACACTCTTAAATGCTCCAAATTTAAGCCAATGGAAATTCCCTGTTTCTGGTTTCCATCTACCACTAAGAGATGATAAATGACTGGTTCTTCTACTTGTTGCTGGTGCTCCACCAGATGGTGGAAAGAATAGAGCCTGCTAGCAAAAATTAGCAATTCTATTCCTTTTCTTCATTCTGTTTACACTTACATTTTCAAGGCCTAATTACGTCTAGTAAAGGTTTTATCCCAATATAAATGTAGAGTGTATGATATTTTAATCATTATATGTAGGATTAAAAAGTTTACAGTAATACAAAAATGGGAGATAGCTGTGAAAATTTGTTACTTATTCTTCTGTGTTGGGATCAGCCAAGATATTTATCTTGACATATGTATAAATTCACCATTTAATAAACTTAACTAATTTGTTTTTGCTTTAAAAAAAAAAAAAAAAGAACAGAGCCTGCTATACCTAGACAGTGAGTCCTAGGAGAGGGAGAAAAACAAAAGGCAGCTTTGACCTTGACATAGGTCTTAGACAAATTTGAGAAATAATTTGGAGCATTACCCCCTAAAATAGGTGTGTATGTATCAATTCAGGAGGACTGAAAATTAAAAATGACAATTCTGTAAGGATAAACTATGTGGAAGGAGGAGAGAAAAGCATTATGTTATCTTTATCTCAAGTATTAAACTTTAGATCTTAAGTGATTATTCAATATTTGTGTGAAGGCATTAGAGTAGGTTGAAATTTATGTGCTTTTTTATAACTTGCCTAATTCTAATAAACTGATTTGGGAAAGTTTACAAGAAGATCTTTGAAACAAGTTCATTAAAATAAAGACAAATAAGGACAAATAGTAAGAACCATGTAATGGGTGAAACAAGAGAACTTTTTCTGAAAACCTAAAGTAGTTTATTGGCAACTTCAGTGAGAAAAAGAAATATTAAAAAGCTATTAAAAAGAGGTATACCAGTAAATCAGGAGAGTAAGACTTCCTTCTACTATTAAATTCTTAGAAGAAATAATTATGTTGATGCTTACATAAGAAATAATGGACCTAACTAAATACCTTTCATGGTGGATTTTTAAAAGATAAAACATTATTCTCCATACTCTCTTATTTCTTTTTTTTTTTTTTTTTAATTTTATTTATTTATTTGAGAGAGAGAGAGAGAATGAGAGATAGAGAGCATGAGAGGGAAGAGGGTCAGAGGGAGAAGCAGACCCCCTGCTGAGCAGGGAGTCCGATGTGGGACTCGATCCCGGGACTCCAGGATCATGACCTGAGCCGAAGGCAGTCGCTTAACCAACTGAGCCACCCAGGCGCCCCATACTCTCTTATTTCTTAATAGTGACAAATGTGTAAAAACAACCTAAATCTTCACAAGGATGGTACTCCATTAGGAAAAAATGGGAAAACAACTCATTTATAAAAAAGAAACAGTGGGAGGGAACCTCTTAAATCTAATACATGTGCAACTGTGTTCTGAAAACCTAACAGGCTCTTTGATACTTAAAACAGTTTTTGGATAGCTGTCCCACATACTGAGACCTACTAAAAGCTTACACATATCAGCACTAGCCTTGCTAAACTTGAGATGGCTAAGACTGGCACGGTGGGAAAACACCAGCGTTCCTAAACATACATTGCAATCTTGAATCCATGTAGCAACTTCGTCATCAGCAATGTCCTTGTTAGTGGCTGCTTTCAGGAGCTCGTTGGTTTGATCCTCCTGCTGCTGCACTGTAGAAGCACACTGTTTGGAGTAGTCCTTGTATCTCTGCCAAAGTTGAAGCAGGGCTTTGCTGGAGTACAGCTGCTCAGCAATCTCTTCCAGCAAGTTATTCCATCTGGAAACAATAGGCAACACTCATGGGCAGATTAACACCTCTTACCAAATGCTGTTATTTGCTCTTTTAGTTTTCACGATCCTGCTTCATGTAAATATGGGAATAATTCAGAGATGCCTCATTTTTATTTGACATAATTTTACCAGGTAATATTCCCCACTCGGAGTTCAAAGGCACAGAGTAGAAATGAGGTCAATTTTGGGGTATATAGCAGTTTTAATCTCTAAGTCTCTTCATGACACTTAGTTACCTTAAATTCATTTGTGAAAATTGAAACATTAGTAGAATAGAACCTGTAGAGCTCAAATTCAAAATGCCAGCAAGTTTTAATTGCATTATTATTTGTAATAAGGCTGTGATATAAATAATGCATAACAGTGTAAAATTAGCATGCAACATACCTCATATTGACATCTTTTAACGTGTTGGTAAGAGTTTCTGTCACAGGTGGGTGACACTCTTTTAACAGTTGGTTGGTGACAGAGCCAAACCTCTGTAAGTTCTTTTCCTGTTTTTCCAGATCATCTTGAAGATTCTGCTCCCAAATTAAAAAAAAAAAAAAAAAAGCACCACAGATGACACGACAGGATGTAAATTCTAATAATCAAGTTTAAAAGTAATTTATAGCTGTTCCCACAAATATGTACATAAAAATACGTAAACCATGACTTTGTTCTGATGCTTTGTAAATTTTCTTTAGGTAATCATTTCTTCTTTTATAATTTTGTTCTTATGGGTGTGAAAAGGGATTCCTAACAACTAAATGTTCTTACAGTGGCATCTGGAATTCTGCTGGGAAAGCTCACGTGACTGTCCTTGTCCGTCACCTAGTAGGAAGCTATGGCAGTGATATGCGTGCAATCTGTCACACTGGTTCTCTTTGCTATTCAAAGTCAAAATCCAGGTCTCCATTTTATCACATATCTAGAGTTGTTCTACCAGAAACTCTGGATAATCAGACCTTAAGAAGTCGTGGCTTTTCTGAGTACCACTTATAAGTTCTATCTCTGGGTGTTCTTCCTTGCAAAGAATATTTATTAGACAGGCTACAGACATGGCACAGTCTTCTACCAAGGACTAGTGAAGGATCCTGAAAAAAGACACTTCCCTGCAAATACTGCTGGAGTGCTAGACTCAATTCTTAGTAAAACTCTATAAGTGACGCAGGCTACAAAAACCCAGTTCTGTTTAACACCAATATCTGATTGCCATCAAATCAAAATCCTTTCATATCTTAAGACAGCATGTGCTGGTGTTAAACACAGAATGGGCTAAATTAAAAAGTACTTCTAATTGCCTCAAAGGTATAAAATCTGTTTGCAAACTTCCTATTCTCAAAGCAAGTTTTAATGATTCTCAGTATCTGCAACAACTATTTAAAGTTTAAAGAAATTATGTATATATACACTTTACTCTTCCTCCCCCCCCCCATCCCCAAGAAAAGGCATTCCCTGATCGGAGAGTCTGCATCTGAGGTCAGCAACATATAAACTTTCATTGCCAAGCCAGGGAAATGGACTTGTGTCAGGAGGGTACATGCTGGGCTCTTGCTGGCATCCTATGCCCTGAGGGCCTATCCTGCCCATCTTGTATCCCAGTCTGCATGAGTCAGCCAGGGAGAAACAGTGGCCACAGGTAAGAGTGGCAATTGGTGCATGATGCGCAGGGGAGTGAGGGCAGCAGCTGACTCGAAGGCAGGGGCCTGAGGTAGGAGACAGTGCTCTGCAGAGTCAAACAGCAGTGAGGTCATCCTATATGACTACAGTGATGATGGGCACTCAGGAAACCAAGCAGTAAGCACTAGAAATATGTAATCTAGTAAGCACTAGAAATATCATACTATGCTGAACGGAAAGAAAACAACTTGATAGTTTACAAGTTTACCGTTTTGTCTTTCTCTTTGTTTTCTTTTTACTCCCTGAGAATATGTTAGGAGAAGTAGAAGAGAGAAAGGGAAGACATAAAGGCAGCAACAATGGATCAAGGAGGTTGGTTTGTATGTAAAATCATTTTATAAAATGCATTCATATGGATACTGACATAATAGAATTTTTAAAATCAGTAAGTTATATACCAACTAATCCAGACATTTGGTATCCACAGGCAAGTTTAAGTTACAAATAAAGCAGGTAGGATTTATTTTAAATATTTAAAAATAATTAAATGCAAACAATATACAGCAATATTCCAGGATGCTGTTCATGTTTGCTTTTTACTTTCTCAAATTAAAAAGAATATTAAAGACGGGTTATATGCATCCCTTACCTGAAGATTGTCTACCTGAACTTGTACAGCTTCTAAAGAGCCAGTCAGCAGACGGAAGCGGGAAAGAGAGTATCTGGCCTCCATGAGGTAGCTGTTTATCTCATCAAAGGCTACCTTGTGATTGTTCCATTGGTCAAACACGGACTTCAACAGTATCTTTAATTGCCCAACCTTTGAAAGAGACAGATGCTTCTTATAATTGCATAATATTTAAAATGTTAAATATTTAAAATGTTGAATACGTGTTGAATTGATGGAAACAACATTAATATTTAAGAACTTCATCAGGGTTTCAGGCATTATAAATAAACTAGAAATAAAAAATTTGAAAAGAATGACATAGCAACATTGACATGTATGTCTTTTTTCTCATTAATTTTCAGATTTTTATTTAAATTCCAGTTAGTTAACATACAGTGTAATATTAGTTTTATGTGTAGTATTTAGTGATTCATTACTTACATACAAACACCCAGTGCCCATTACAAGTGCCTTCCTTAAATACCTATCACTCATTTAACCCATCCCTCCACCTACCTCCCCTCTAATATGGTTAATGTAAGGTTTGATCAATAATTTAGAAGAAAGGATGTAGTTACATTATGCAACTTTTAAAAAATTTTTTTATTTTATTATGTTAATCACCATACATTACATCATTAGTTTTTGATGTAGTGTTCCACGAGTATGATCTCAGGTGATTTTCATAACCTCTTTGTGCCTCAGTTTTTTTATCTATAAGATGGGGATAATAATTATAACCACCTCATAAGGTTGTTATAAGGATTAAATGAGTTAATGCATTTAAAACAATAAATAGCCTATTTCTTCTTTGTATTATTTTTGTTTGCTTTTCATGAGAAGGTGTTTCTGTGAATGAATCACTTAATTTATTTATATAGTAAATTATTTCCAAGATTTGTGATGATTTTATAAAAACACATAAAATTAAATAAAACACATTTAAAACTGGGTTAAGGATAAGGTAAGAACAGACTAGAAAGCTGCACCAGGAGGGGTACATAGACTGTAAGAAGCTGTTTGCTGTATGCCACGGATCCCAGTCACTTAATCTGTTTGTGCCTTAGCTCCCATCTCTGCAAAGTGTGGATGATAACTACTTGCACATGTGTGTGCAGGGCAGTAATTGTTTTTACATATATTTATTATTGGAGAATTCAGCACTCCATTAGGCACAGATTTATCAAATGTCTTCATAGACCTTACATTTTAGTGAGAGGAATTTAAACAAACAAGGAGGCTGTATCCTCTGTTAGAAGTTGATAAATAATCTTGATAGAAGCGAAGCAGAGACGAGATTCAGGGAATGGGGGGTAGGGAGGTGGAAGCTATCATTTAAAACAAAGTGAACAGGAAAGCCCTCACTGAGATGGTGCACTTGAACAACGAGTTTGTGGAAAGGGAAAAACCCATGTGGATACGTCCAGGAGGGTGTTCCAGGTGGAGGGAAGAGCCAATGCAAAGCCTCTGAGTGTGGAACACGGCAGTGGAGTTCAAGAGTAAGGAGAGACCAGAAGCAAAATGAACCTGTGGGACGGCAGCAGAAGATAGGTCAGAGAGACCATGGGAGGCCAGCTCCTGGGGGTCTTGGGGCCCTCACCAGGTTTTGGCCTCATTTTGAATTTGACAAGAAGCTATTGGGAGGTTTTGTGCAGATGACTGGTGTGATCTGGCTTCCATTTAACAGGACCTGTCTAGTATGGAGGCCATTGAAATAATCAAGGCCAGCAAAGATATTGACTTAGACCTAGGTGTAGGCTATGGAGATGGGGGGAAGGGTTGGATTCTAGATTTGTGCTGAAAAAAAGACTGACAAGATTGCTGATGGACCAGACATGGGGAATGAAAGAAAGGACTCCACATCTTCTACCTATGCAACCAGGCAGAGCAGTCATTAACTCAGATGGCAGAAAACGTGGGTCCGTGGGGGAAGAACAGGGGTTGGTTTGGGCATGGAAGTTTGAGATGTCTAGTGGTCATGCAAGAGGAGCTGTCTATAAATTGGATTTCTCTCTCTGTCTCTCTGTGTCTACAGTTTAGGAGAGAAATCCAGGCTAGGGATATACATTTGAGAATTGTCTGTACCTAGATAGTATCTACGGACATGGGAATGGATGGGATTATTAAAAGAGTAATGTTCATAATAATGTTTATTATAGGAAATATCCAAAGCTAGAATTTATTTAAAAAGAGGTTAATAGGCGTGCCTTGGAGGCTCAGTTGGTTAAGCATCTGACTCAGTTTTGGCTCAGGTCAAGATCTTCCAGGTTGGGAGATGGAGACCTGTGTTGGGCTCCACACCCAGTGGGGAGTCTGCTTCCCATTTGCTTCTCCCCCTGTGCACACATGTGCTCTCTCTCACACACACACAAATAAATAAAAATCTTAAATAAAATAAAATAAAGAGGTTAATGAAGTAGACTTAATACAAAGAGATAACGTAGAGATTCTGTAACTATTTACTCAGTTATTTTAGGAAAACCAAATGCCATGACATGTTTGGAGTCAGGTCTCCGCAAGCAATATTACCATGTGGTCTAAATTTGCCCAGGTTTGGTTGAGCTCCCGCAGCGTGCTCATGACAACACCAGAGACTTCTTCTTTCTTGTTCTGAATCAAAGCAAGTCCATTCTGCTCAATTTTCTCCACCTCTTTTTCTTTTGCTCTAATCAAATCTTCTAGATCCTAAAAGATTAAAAGCAGTCATTTTAAATTGTTCTATTATGGAAGTCTGTGGTGCACTGAGCCATTACAGCCTCATATTCTCCAAGTTTAAGTAAAATTTGATTACCTAAAAGATAAAGACATGGCAACATGTAATTTTTTTTCAAGAAGTTAGAAGAAAAGAAATATATGTAGGAAATGGTAACATGATTTATATACTTCTGTTGGAAAAGTTACAGAGTCCTAGGCCATAGGATGAAATGCAATAGGATGGTATTCTCAGTATCTGAGTTTAGTTACATTTCTGCTACTATTAAGCTATGCCACTTTAAGTTAGAAACTTCCACTCGGTCTGTTTCTTCAGACAGAAATCAGAATCTCCTTTAGCCTTTCTCCCTGATTCTATGTGATTATGAAAGGTTATAGGCTTTTTTTTTTCACGAATCAAATCCTTATTTTCTTTGGGATATGCATTTATAACGGTCAGTATGAAATCTTCAAAAAAGAAAATACAATGACGCAACATTCTGGAGATCATCCTTAACCATCCATTATAATCCTAATTTATATTTTAATGCCATTGGAAACTTTGGAAAGCTCAGTATGGCAGGCTGAGACTGCTATCAACATTTCATGGATAAGTGGGAGATCAAGTCATACACCCTGTCTTGGATCACAGAGCTGGTAAGGCTGGGAGATGGGATGAGAGCCCAAGCCTTCTGAGTCTACTGACTCCCAGCACGGTGTTGGAAGCGAGTCTCCAAATATGACTTGTGGAGAGGACATAAATCCCAGGTTCAGGCAATGTGCGAAGCCATATATTAAGGTATGGGTGCATGCTTATATTCAGGAGTATATCTCCAGAACTAGAAATGTAGATATGTAGGCCTTGGAGGTTAAAGTGAAGAAAATTTCAAAATAATGTATATGAAATGTCTTTTAAGCTGTTAAAAACCTGGCAAATGTAGGATAGTATTAGTCTATTCAGTTATTTGGTAATCAGCCATGAGTCAGTACTGATTTATTTTTCTCTCAATTATCATGAAGCTGTTTTCTTCTTGATGTATTAATTAGAAATTCATGCACTTAGTAGCCTGAGGAAATCATTTTTGTTTTTAATATTGTGCTTTCATTTCCATTTCATAATTCTGTCAATATTTTGATAGCTTTGATAATTAGCCAGAGAATGAATATAGTGATTACTAGGGTTACAGGTCCTTTATACAGTATGGAAAACATCATTAATTTTACTATTTAAGGGTTTTTCTCTCTCTACTTCTTTAAAAGGGTAACCATAAACAATCCTTCCCATATGTCTTTAATATGATTCCAAAATCCAGCCATTGGAATTAAATTTATCCTATTTCTTCACAGATGTTAACTTTTTTAAGGAACAATATTAAATGAATGATCCACTACTTAAAAACACATCTCTAAAATGGCCTGCAGGCTTATGTTGGCATAAGAGCAAAACCCAGAAAGGAAACAAGACTGAAATATATATTTTGTACAAAATGAAAGTGTGTTTTCCTTTCCTTTCAATAATAATTAAAAGCTGATTCTGTTACTGATCAATGAAGGAAAAAGCCAAACCTAACATTTTTTTGCTACAATAAATCATTCTTAACTTGAATTAATTCATAAATATTATTTTTTATGTTGGTTTAAATTAATAAATCACCTCTGAAAGTGTGGGAAAATATTCAAGATGTTTTAAACAAAATAAAGCTTAAATCCAGTCACCGATTTAAGTCTGCTGGCTTGAATTTCACACTTTGGTCCAGAGGAACAATTTCTCAAAAATGACAATAAATTTTTATCAAGGTTTGTGGTACTGCCAAACAGAACCTGCCATTAAGCTGTTGTGATTTTTATGTGATGCCCCAAAATAACTGGGTGGGTTACTTTCATTCTGTTCTTTGTTAAAAAAAAAATGACTACATTTGAAATCACTAGTTGGCATTGTGTGTGAAGTTCTTTAAACCACATTTCAGGCTTTTCCTCCTGACACTGCCAGGTGTGACCTTCTGTGAGACTAAAATTTGGGTCTGGAAGAGAGTAAAACTTGGCCAAGCTTCCACCACATTTTCTGATAGTAACATCTCTGTTAAATAGAAGACATGGGTCGTGAAAAGAAACAAAATGGAAAATGGCAGAAAAAATGTACATGAAAGGGAAGACAAAAATAGCGAGAAAAAGTAGGAGAGAAAGTAGAAAAAAGGAAAAGTTAATGTATTATTTCAGTTTTAATAGTAAAGTTTATCACAAGGATATCATGAAGAAGCACTAATCTTACTAACCCTAACACTTAAATGATCTTTTAACTTTAATGGAAACATTTTAATTTGAGTTTAAGAGGTCTGACTTCTCATCCCTCAAAGTAAAATTGTGAAATTCTGGATTTTTCTGTACATTTTGGTATATAAAATTGATGGCCAAAATTAGAAATACTACTGGCCCCTGGAAAACTGGAAATGCAGTGAGACTAGCTGATGCATAATTTTGGTCTTTAGTCTTTTATACACCCATCTTCTGATGTGAAGCATTTTTTTAATTTCAAAGTATTTCTCTATATGATAGTTTTCTTTGCCACTTTTATGCACTCTGGAAATTATAATACATTAGCTTGTCAACCCAGCACAAGGGCATCTGCTCTTCCTTTTCTGAATGGAAAAGCTTGAACTGAGAACTTAAATATATCTCTCTTTATATGTGTCCCCAGAAAAAAAATGCTAGTTGGAAGGAAGATCATTATGAAAGGCCTTTCTTTTTGAAGTCTACAATAAGAAAGCAAGATTCAGGGAAAGGAGTGTTTCTGTAGAACTATTTCACAGTTGAGTCTTCAACTGGTCTTTGGAAACACTACAGAGAACCATCACAGCTAATCTGTACATTAAAAATTATTGAATTATTTTAAAACTTTATTACAGCACTACCTGTAATAACTCACATTTCTTTTGTATAAACAAGAATACCTGAGCAAATGTTAAGTGTTCTGAAGTCACTGGAAGACATTGAGAGTGTGCTCACTCCACCTGAACCAGAGATTCTTATCACTAACAGCAGAACAAGCAGAGGCTGTTGAATGCTTCCCATGGGACATGGGGAAAGTACTACTGTCTCCTGTTAAGCACTCTGCTCCTTAGAGCTGAAAACAGAATTCAATCAAGTCTCTAGTGCTAACTTCCCTTTACAGGAGATACAGAGGAGAGAAGAGCAAGGTCAATCACATCTTAAAGGAAGTCCACAGGCTAATCCTGAACCTGGGGCCAATCTACAGGTTCTATGACAAGTTAATTGTATTAAAAAAATATTAAAGAGGCTTAAGAGATCTGATAACAAATGTAGCATGTGAACATTGCTGTACCCTTATGTGAACAGATTAACTGAAAAAAAAGACATTTTAAAGAAAATTGAGGAAACAGTATTATGAGTTTAGCATGGAATATTAAGGTATTATTGTTAAAACTTTTGTGGTGATGATGTTATTATGGTTACATAAGAAAATGTCAATTTCTTAGAGATGTGCACTGTAGTGGGCAGGAATAAAATGACATGATGTCTGGGGTTCACTAGAAAAATATTTAAGAAAAGAAATAATTCAGGCAAATATGTCAAAATCTTAATAATTATTAAATTTGGTGATCCGCATAGAGGGGTCAGCAGCATTCTCTACTTACAAGTATGTCTCAAAATTCTCATAATTTCAAATTATTTTAAATAGGTGAAAGAACATAATAGTTAAAAAAAATCTCTGTAAACTCACATAATCTGAGAAATTCATTACTGAACAAAACTGTTTTCAGTATTTAACTCTCAACTCCCAGGACCTGAGAATTATGCCACAAAACTATGACATATGCCTGCCAGCCACCGGGACAAGTTACCTGACAGTCTTTCATTGCATTCTGAACTGAAGCCTGATCTCCAATGCGATGTTGTTGCTTTAGTCTATTTTCCTGGGTTTCATACCAAGTTTTCAGACTTTGTACATTATTTTCATATTCTGACCAAGATTCCAATAAGCCTTCCAACAGCTGGATCTGAAAAAACATAATGAAATGAAATGTGCAATTGTATTTTAAAACTCAAGCCACTATTTCCTCCAATTACTCAAGCCACTATTCCCTCTAAATTAAGAATTCTTCAAATACAGTTTATTATATATATGATTAAAAAGTGAATCTTACCAAGTGTGAATCAGTGGCTAGTACTGATAAGAAAATAAAGAAGTCAACTTAAAAGAAAGGCAAAAGAAATTAAGAAGCATCTTTTAAAAAAGTAAAACAACACATAATAGGTGAAAAGTAGAGGATGTATAAGAGAAAATAATGAACAAGAGTAAAGCATGTTTAGAGCAATGGGATTCAGTGGTGTCCCCTGCAGAAACATTTGTGTGCTGTGTGTAGCTATATTACTTGTGAAATGAGTTTTCTTTATAGAGTGTGCCTGTTCTTGGCATTTTCATGTAAATATGGACAGCAGAGGCCACTTGGCTTACCTTCTCAGTCACTAGACCCTGCAGGATTTGCCAACTTTTATTCATGGCTCCAAGTTGCTCAGCAAAATCAGTCTTATCACTGCGTTTACTTTCCACATCCTGACTACTGATTTGTAGCACAGACTGATTCACAAAATCAACTGTCAACTGTTTACAGTTAATATCTATCTTAAAACCCTGAAAAGTGAAGGGAGAAAATAAGAAAATAAGATTATGCATATAAATATCTTATATTTTATCAGGAATTGGAAAGCCTCAAGTAGCCTTAAGATTAATTTTATCATTTCTATGATTTAGTCCAAATGGCACAATCTGTGCCTATTTATATAATGCATTATTATCAGAAGTTGAATATATATATGACCATCCTGAATTTATAAATTTTGAATTTATAAAAATATTGAATTTGAATTTATAAGAATTTTAAAATTTTGAATTTATTAATATGTTGAACAGAAATATATGTATATATCTTATGTAGAGGATGTAGAATTGGATAAATTGTATAATCTCACTATAACATATTTATAAATTATAGCATTTTTTCTTTAGAATTCTTTTTTTTTAGTTTCAGATGTAGTGTTCAATAATTCATCAGTTGCATATAACACCCAGTGCTCATAACATCACGTGCCCTCCTTAACACCCATCACCCAGTTACCCCATCCCCCACCCACCTCCCCTTCAGCAACCCTCAGTTTGTTTCCTAGAATTAAGAGTCTCTTGTGGTTTGTTTTTATGATTTTTTAAATGACACAAAATCATATTCAAAATTATTCCTAATACCAGACAACTTTACTATGTCTACAACTAGGGAGGCAGTTTGCTTACCCTTGTACTCCTATCTGGTCACCATGTATGAAACATACACTCTAAAATCTGATGTGCATAATTTGAGTTTCTGAGTTCTTTTGAATAGAACAGTCCTAAAATATGAAAAGTTAAAAGAAAAAAAATTCCATTACCTTATATTTCTGAAGGTATTCATGAATTGCCTTGTAACCTATTGAATTTTTTATATTCTCCTCATCCTTTTGAATAACATTTTCCATGAGAGAAATCCAAGTCATAACTTCAGAAATGGCATGGCGGGAAGGCAGCTTATCCATTTGGAGCTGCCCAGTAAGGGAAAGAATAAGACACAAGTGTTAAAATTCAAACCAAAATTCTGCCAAACTAAACCTAAAAACCCTACATTAATACGTATTAGTGTACAAACAGAGATAACAATTCCTAATGACATCTTTGGATCTTAACCTCATTAGAAGCTTGAAATTAAACATTAGGCAAACACTGAACAATAATAGTCATCTTATGTTCACTTGACATCCAATACTATAAACACTGTATAAACATTAACTAATTAATCAAAATTCCAGTAAGAAGAAAATATTATTCTTATTTTATAGCTAGATTTATGAGTTAAAAAACTTAACTACAAAACATTCAACAGATGTATTTTATTAATTATCTTGTAAAAATTTCTGTGTATTATGACTGAGGAATGTTAAAGGAAGAAAGAAAAATACCACACTACAAACTATCATTTTCTAGATTTTTGGCACTCTAATGTTTATTCCTAAGAGCATGGCCAATTTCCTTACTCTTTAACTAAAATATACTTAGAATTCTGAATCTTGCTTGATCTAGCATACATTTTTGTAGGTATTTATTATAATGATTTGGAGAAACAAAAGCAATCATTTAAGATATTTATGGACTTCTATGTGGTGCAGGAAGATAGAGATGAGTGTGAGATGTTTCCTGCCACCTAGAAATGTGTAGCTGCTGACTAGGAGGGTAAGACAGACATTAAACACAGCTATCATACCTAATAGAGTAATGAATACCAGAGAGAGAAACATATACCGTCTGAGATCCAGGGAAGGGAGGTGTATTTCTAGATAAGGGAAGTACTTAGGTTTATTGAATGCCAGTTGTTCTATTGTAGGTGAGATTATAGGTCTTTTATACATACTGTGATTGAATCCTCAGAACTACTTACTTTATGAGGGAAGTGTAGTGACCCACATTTTACTCATGAGAAAACAAAGAGCTTAAACACGGCCAGATGAATGTTCTACTACACACACACACACACACACACACACACACACACACACACACAGAGTAAAGAAGTCCTTGGAAGCTATGACATTTGTAGGTATGGCTTTGTAGAACAGTTCACTTTCAGTATGCAGAACAATGAAAGAGAAAAGGCAAGATGTCCATGACAAAGCTGATTTAAATTTGTAAGTAAAAGCAGATTAGCACTCTTTTCATTTGATACTGCTTAAATCAACTATTATGATTTAAGCCTATGATTATTTCTATACCTGGTGGAGCTTCTCCTGTACAGTTGGAATATTTGTCAGCAGGTCAGTCCACTGGCTATCAATCTGTGACAGCTCTGAACGTAGGGCAGCTGTGTCCACTTTCTTTAATCGAAGAAGCTGATTTCCAGTGCTCAGAACAGATGATTTCAGGGAAGATTTTGCATCCACTTCTTTGGAAAACTCCTAAAAGAAGTAGCAATGTTCAAACTGGGACTAAATAGTCTGACCTTTAGAGAACCATTTACTACATAAACAAATTTTCTTTACATCTTGAAGGGGAGTTATGGTAAACACTCCAGAGGAAAACAAAGGCACACCATTGCCTTGAATGAAAGCCAACAATGTAGCCATTCCTTGAAAATTGCTTTAATGAGGCAAGGTTGAAGCCTATTATTTTGCATTAATTATTGACCACACATAGTTAACATTGACAAATTCTCTATAGCTTGGCTTATTAAGTAGAGAAAATTGAATCAAATGCTTTAGATTCTTAGGCTCACCAGGAAAGCATTTAGATGATCACGGACCATTTCCAGTTCTTGTGGGACTGTCACAGATTGTTGAGTCCAAAATTCTAGCCTATCTTTTGCAGATTGTAACCAGTGAATAAGTTCTGCAGATTCGCTTTGATATCTGTAATTATATTAATGAGCCTATTAAGTAAACATCCGATACATCTATTCTGCTAACCCATGTTATTCAGCAATGCCAATTTTAAAACAAGAGACACAACAGGTTTGGGAGAATAATGTCTTGCATTCACACTCTCAATTTCCCTTCAAATTTATACTGTGAGCAAGTTTCAGCTTTCCCATTTCTAAGCTGAATGTAAATATATATATATATTAAACGTATATATATACACATGTGTGTGTATATATATATAATATATATATATATAAGCTGAATGTACACACACACACACACACACACACACAAACACACCTTTCTCCTACTCCTTCACATTGAGGCTATTTAGAAAATATTAAAGTTCTTAGAAATAAAGGTGGCATAATTGAGGCTATTTAGAAAATATTAACAGTTCTTAGAAATAAAGGCGGCATAGAAATAAAGTATTTCATCATGTAAAAATCAACCTCCACTTTTCTTGAATACTTCCTATTGCCCTTGAGAAACTTTACTTTCTCAGACATACTTTCCTTCCATCTCTCCTTCTAAGGTTTTACTTTGACCATCCAGGTAAAGTCAATAGGCAAGGGAGGATCAAAGGTCCAAGATAAAGTGCATTAAGCACTTGCTACCCTGCCCACTTCTCATTACATGTTTATATAATTATATAAGAATCCAATGGGGGTGGCGCCTGGGTGGCTCAGTCGTTAAGCGTCTGCCTTCGGCTCAGGTCATGATCCCAGGGTCCTGGGATCAAGCCCCGCATCGCATCAGGCTCCCTGCTCAGCGGGAAGCCTGCTTCTCCCTCTCCCACTCCCCCTGCTTGTGTTCCCTCTCTCGCTGTGTCTCTTTTAAATAAATAAAATCTTAAAAAAAAAAAAGAATCCAACTGGGGGCTTTGTTTTTGCCTTTATTTTCCAAAATATGAATTAAGTGCCTAGAGGGATCATCTTTGTCAAGTCCCATACCCACTAGCCTTATAAAGGCTCTTTAGCACTAATCTATAATGATGTATAATAGTCATTGTATTACCTGGTCCAGTGCTTCAGTACTGTTTCCAATCTGTGAAGCTCCTTAGACACTTTGTTGGTATTATTTAACCAGTGTTCTCCAAGTTGATTTAGCTGGCTTTCTAGATCTGAGCAGCTAATGGATATGAGCAGTCGTTTCCCATCATCTAATACCTGATATAATTTGGGCTGGTATTCATTAAGGCTGGATTTCAAATGCTAAAATTGATTGGAAATACTGGGTCAAAAGTTTGGACAATGCAATTTTTCTCTTTAAGAATTATAGTTTCTCTGGCACCCATAATGTTCCCACTCCCTTTTAGTCAGACTTCAACTATTTGCACCCAAGTAAGATCTGAAAATTTGAGATGGCTCATCCATATCTAAGTATAGATGTTATTTTTCTTTCTTTTCTTTCTTTCTTTTTTTTTTTGTAGTAACTTCAGGTACATTTAAAACTACCAAGCTATAAGAATAGCATGACATCAGCATAATAACACCAGCATAATAACACCACAGAAAATGTTTGGTAGAGTTTGAATTTTCAAAGAGCTCTCTTATTAAAAAAAAAAAAAAAGATCTTTCTTATGTTCTATTATAAAGCAAACACTTAAAATCTATCTGCTTTCAACAATATCATTAGCTTGAAATAAAAATAAAAATACTTAATAAAATATTTGATTGCAAGTTTGTTTAATTCCATTAAAACCATGGGAAAGTTTCAAAAGAAAATGTGGCAACTTTTCACACCAAGATGCCACTGGACACTGACCTGGTAGAGTGTTATCCGATCGATGAGCCTATCCTCACTCTCCTCCACCAATCCCACACTGGGGATGCTACTTTCCACCGCCTCCAGCTGTCTGCTGAGCTCCTGGTGGTCTTCATCCAGATGAGACCACGTCTAGAAACACAGTATCAATCTGTGAGCTAAAGAATCCTCATTCAGGAATAGTGATCCTTTCTTGTGTGCAAAATATACATTCAACAGATTCTCTTAAAGTTATGTTGGAGATGTTTGTGTTGGGGGTTTGCTCTGGGAAGCAAAAGATGGCTCTGAAGAAAGTAATCAGATGGTGACCCCGAAAAGCACTGTGAATCGGCTTTGGCATCTGCAACCAACCCACTGTATGAACACGGGCAAGTTACTAAACTTCTCTGAGCCTCATTTATAACATTAAAAAAACAGGGATAATAATAACTCTCTTGCCCATCATGAGGATTAAATGGAATGATTGTACCCAGGGCACTTGGAACACAGCAGGCATCTGATATGCATGGTTTCATTGGTTACCACAGTGATGATGCACGTATGATTTAAGCAAAAGAGAAGAGCATGTTTACTTCATGTAGTAAAGTGAAGTAAATATATTACATTCACAAATAAAAAAAGCTACAGCAGACATTTTAGAAATATAAATATATAGTGCAAATATTCTACTAAGGAGAAATCCCACACCAGTCACGTCTCTTTCAGTCATATAAAGCAAGGGTCAGCAGTTTTTTAGTTTGACTGTCAAGACCCCAAATATCGTTGCCCTAACTAAAGTCGGTATGTAGGGAATCTGGCTGACTCAAGGCATGGCAGAGCCTTTAATATAAGGGGGACAAGGCAGAACACAATGCTGAGTCTGAGGGAGTTCCAAAGTTCCAGGAGGTGAATGGCATGGGTAAATATGTCTTGCCTTAACGGTGTGTTCTGCAGTTGAGTTTGCTGTAGGGAAGGGATTATGTCAACAGTCTCACCTCTAGAATGTACTCCAACTCCACGCCCCTCTTGTGAGCCCGTTTTAGTACAGCTGAAGCCTGTACCATCAGTTCTGTGTGGAATTGCGTTTCCTGTAGGACTGCAAAGCTGATTATCTTTCTGAAGAGTGTTTCAGTCAAGATCATATGAGATTCCAGGCCCTGAAAGTATTCCTGCAAGTTTGCAGGTAGAGAGAGGTCAGCAATTCATACATATACCACCTTACAACAAAAGCTGCTTCAGACATGAAAGCTGAGGGAACTCAATATACGAGCCACATCTTTCTGTCCCTGCTGACCGCAACCTCATGTAGGCACTCACAGCTTCCTGTAGAGAGGGGAGGGGGGCTCCTCTTGACCCTCCACTCAAGTGCACCTACACATGCTGTGCTGCAGATTCTCTGTCCCCCCCAGCAGAGCCCTTCAGATGAGACCAGCTGCAAATTAAATTCCTCTGCCCTCTCAATATCTCATCCCTGACAATCTGAGAGACTCTCACTAACTCCACCACATAGACTGGCCTTCCTTATCCCAGGACACATTAGCTCCCAGCCCCTGTCTTCAGTCTCTGCCTTTACTCTACACTTCCCAAGATGTCCTCACTCTACACATTAACAACTTTCCTTCCTCCATGTTTGGGCTTGAGCTCTACTTTTCCAAATTCCCAGAGCATTCGTTGTGCTCCAAGCTTGACATGTACCGATTGGTATTATACAGTTTTAAATTTCCCTTGTATTAGACCTACATACAACAGAATGATAGGCCTTGGGCAGTCCTACAAATGTGTTTTGAAATGTTATATTTTATGTGTAAAAGGACCCAGAGTGGGGAGACAGGGCTTATCCCACTTCCTGTTCCCTCCACTGTGGGTAGAGCTGAAGACCTGCAAATTGATAACAGTATTTAGTGCATACTATATGCTGAAACTCTACCAACGCTCTACTGACCAACTCTCTTAATCCTTATAAGACCTCTATGAGATAGGTAGTTTTATTTCCCATTTGGTGGATGAAGACACTGAACTGCCCAGTCTACAGAACATGCTATGCTCAAGGTCACCGCAGAGGTCTCCCTCAGAAAATAGTCTGGTCAGGGGCGCCTGGGTGGCTCAGATGGTTAAGCGTCTGCCTTCGGCTCAGGTCATGATCCCAGGGTCGTGGGATTGAGACCCACATCGGGCTCCTGGCTCAGCAAGGAGCCTGCTTCTCCTTCTCCCTATGCCTCTCTCCCTGCTCAGGCTCTCTCCTCTCTTTCTCTCTATCTCTGTGTCTCAGATGAATAAATAAAATCTTTAAAAAAAAAAAAAGAAAATAGTCTGGTCAATAGAAGCCAGAATCTTCATTTTTAACTGACAATTATTATATCAGAGAATCTTAAAGTTGGAAGAAAATTTGGAGATTTGGAGGTCATTAAGCCCAACACTCACCAAAAACTGATATTCCTTTTACAACCCAATCTCCCCCTAATGGCCTTGGACAGTCTTCCCATGGCCAGGAGAGTTGTCTGCTCAATGGCAGTATTCCTTTTAGCGTTCTTTACCTATTGGACCTACATCTCTATTATTTATACTCATTGATCCTACCTTCCTCTCTGGAATAACTCAGGATGATATTTTATTGCTGTTGTCAAAGATTTGAAGAAAACCAGCTGTGAACTTTAAAGCAATGTTTTCAAAGCCAAATGATAAGGCTTTAATAAATCACAAAGTTTTGGACAAAAATCTCTGGGAAAAATAGCAAGAAGTACAATTCCAAAAAAAAAAAAAATCGCCTTTATAAGCCACCACAGAACTACATAATGGTAGAATGTTAACCATATATAATCCAGTGGGATTTTCAAAGTTTCCATGTATGACATTCCTACGGTCTGAGAATTTGGGTTTCTGGACTGGCAAAACTATTCTTTCTGTAGTCATTCCAAAAATGCAAGAGTTATTTGTGTGTACACATTAAACAGGTATTCCTTTACTAAGGAGTAGTGTCTAACTTGAGCTTGGCTATGGCACATGCTGATAGGGCAGTCTCAGGCCTACCAAGTTTGATAACGTAGTAAAAGGACTCACTCTCCCCAGGAATAAACTCTTGAGGCCCACAGCAACCAGAGGAGTGTAGGCGAGAAGAGCTGAGTGATGCACGTAAGAGACAGATACCCAATCCCACAGCTGAGTAGGTAGCTCTGCTTTCCCAGGGCACAGTGAGGAGCCTTTGGCCAGGACAAGGGAAGGCAGAGAGAATACTTAGGGATACACGAATAAATGGGCATAAAAGACACAAGGACAAATCAAAAGAGAGTTAAGAAGGAAACTGGGCACTTTGAAAAAAGTCAAGTTTCCCATTGGTTGCAGTAAATGAAGGGGAAAAGCCTGGCTAATACTAATGAGGAAGTGATAATTAAAATTATTGGGAATGATGGTGTTCTTTTTTACATTAAGTAAGCTCCATGCTGGAGCCTAACACAGGGCTTGAACTCATGACTCTAAGATCAAGAACTGAGGCCAAGATCAAGAGTCGGACACTTAACTGACTGAGCCACCCAGGTGCCTCTGTATTCTTTTTTAACTCACAAAATTATAGGAACGTATCCCCTGTAATTTTTCTGTGCTATTTAACATCCATGGGTTTGAATATACATTTGTTGACCATTTTAAAGAGTAATTTATTTAAGGAGGAACTCATAAAAGATCAATAATAGGTTTTACTAGGTAGATACATATCAGTGAGTGAGAATATGCTTTCGCAGCTACATTCTCTCTCTCTCTCTCACTCTCTTTACCTTATGTTTGTCAAGTAGTTGTTGAATGTCCTCTTTGGAGGACACGATGATTTTCTGGTCCCCTGCCATCTTGTCCTGTCCAGTCTCTACCACATCAGCCAGATCGTGTAAGGCCCTTTCATACTGATCCTTGAGTGCAAGATTCTGGTTCAGCCCACTCCGCCGGGAGCCAATGGTCATCATCAGTTCATCATACATGTCCTACAAAACAGAGACGGTGATACTCACTCTCAATTCATGTGTCGACTCTTCTCTGAAAAGCAAACTACCTACCAAGTCCACGACCCAACCAAGAACACTCCTTCAGGTATCTGACTGGTGGTGATACTCTCCATGCAGAGCACTGCCTGTCTTTCTCATGAGTCTCTTTGAAAACTTCCTTCAAAAAAGATAAGCTAAATATTTACGGATTCCAAAGGACATGCAAAAATATTGGCTAGAGATGACGTGAGGTAGGTTTGACACCTCTCTTCTCAGGGTATCAACAGTTTATGGTAGGATGTGGGGTTAAAATGTTGAAAAGTTTTCATGTGGCTGAGGGAAGTGTAAGTGTAAATTCTAATTTTCTAATGTAATTCTAATTTTTACAATGTTCTTAACATTTATATAATTTTAGAGTAATTGAATAAAGTATCTTTCACATTTTATCTGCTAAATAATGATCAGATTTTGGACTATGCCCTAAATAAAGACCTAGAGAAACAGAGGAGTTTAATGTGAGCGGAATGCTTTAAGACTTAAAAAGGCAATGTTTTTGCCAAATGTGGTGGAGTAAATAAATAACTATTTAAACTGGAAAGACATTTTAGGAGATGATGATACACCAAACACAAAATTTATTTAAACCATATGGACCTGATTAATGTATCATATTAAGGTTGAGCGGGCCAAAATGGCTCAATCTGGAAAAGTTCAACTTTAATGCCCATTTACAACTATGATGTTTGACTCTTCCACCTGACATTTAAGCACAGTTGGAAAACTGTCTAAGTGCAAAGTGGGGGCACTGGGCTCATGACATTGTGAAATGTTAGATAATGGAATGAGACAGTTAAAATAAAAATGTTCTTTTTAAAATAAGAGCTATTTTATTTTCTCAAAAGGAAGAACTTGTGACCCTGTGCTGGAGTTACGCTATTAATCCCTCAATGGTTCTCTATAACACAGAGAAAACTTAATGTGTGTGTCAATGTACACAATTCTTTCTTAATGTAACTTAACTATGTTGCTTATCAACTGCTAAATTTTGCTGGTCTAATATCCCAGTTCCTTCCTACCACCCCCATATTGGATTTTTGCCTAGCAGCCTGATCTAAGAAAGCAAATTAACCCCAAATTATTTCCTACTCCTGAAGGAGGCTGGGAAATCTGTTTAGATTTCACCTACCTTCTAGTTTATTTTTTTCTATTGGCCTGATATTGAAACTGTCTCTCTTCCATTCAGACATGTATGAAAGATTAACTATAGTTTTGAACACTGGAGAAAAATACTTTCTAAAAAGTATTAGCTTGAGCATGTTTTCTTTAAAATAGTTTTTTGAAGTACACTACAATGCAGGGTAGATAGCCATCTTTTAACTTTTCTAGGGAGAAGTGATAATTATTATATTTCCTAGAGTAGAAAATAATATGCCTCAACTAAAGGAATATATACCACAATGCCTAACCACTGGAATAATAATAAAGTAAATGTCAGAAAAAAATAAGTCTTAGATGTTTGAGAATACAATTTATTTTATCACATTAAAGCTGGTAAAGGTTCCAGAAAATTTTCTAGCTGTTGCTTGGGTTAAAGATTAGGACCTAAATGGCATGAACTGTACAGAGAAAAACCAAGAAAAGAGAGAAAATAATTTTTTCTTGACTTCTAGTTAGGATGTATCATTGAAGCTGAATGTTGCTGGTAGAAAGCCGTACCTGAAGTTTGGACAGTTCCTGCATGGAAGGCTGCTCAATCTGCAACGTGTCCCCACGCTTTTTTAATTCAGTGATTCCTGCATCCAATTCCTTTAGACCATCTTCAGCCTCTTGTATTGCCTATGTAAGATTTATGATATTTTATTAAAACTCCCATAAACAATTTCCCACCCAAAATGTGATTATTGTGTCTATTTGTTCTTCCCTCTACACTAAACATTTTCAATACCTACAAAAGGAGTCATTTTAATACAGCATAAAAACCATGACCATCCAGTATATAGAAAAGAGAAGGAGGCCCTTTGTTATACCACAGTCAGCTACCTCACAGGTAAGGAAGTAGGAGGGACTTCACATGGAGGGTTGGGAGAACAATGGCTTCCTTAACCAAATACGGGAATTCGTAAATAGCAACACTTGAAAAAGAAGCATGACTTAGAACATGGTTAGAAAAGATACTGACCTAAGATTTTCTAGAGGAACATGTTCTGGTTTCCTGAGATGCATTTCAGGCATCCTTGGAGAGAGATTCAATGAGACAAGAGGCAAATATGTCACAGCACGGTCAGAGAAAGCTCACTCTTTGCTGAGTAGAAAAGCAAGCAGTCAACAACTATTAAAGGGGCTGCTGGCCCTAAGTCTTGTCTTCCCAGTGTGAGTTCTGTAGAAGTAGAACAAGCTCTCACCCTGGCCTTCAAGGAGCCTGAAGTCTGGTTAGGAAGCCAGAGTAAACAGAGCAAAACAAAACAAGGGTGAATCCAATCAGGTTCTCAACTCGATGCAATTCATCCCTATTAGAGGAGACTGGAGAAGAGAGACAGCAGTGGATTCTGGAGAAGTCTAAGTAGACTTTTGGAAGAGACACAACCTCAGTTGCCCTGAAGGATGAAAAGAACATGGACTCCAGATGGCAGATGAAACACACGTGTCTTATTTTCTCCTTCCTGAATCACCACTGCAACCACAGCAAATATTCTGTTTCCTTGTTTTTTGGTGCCCCCCCACCCATAAATCTATAAGGACAAAGAAACAGCAAAGAAGGCAATACCAACAAGATTTTGAAAGCTGGAATTCAGAAGGATACGGAATAACTGACTTAAGAAATCTGAGAAAGCTGAATCCTACGCTCACAGGAGATCTGTATCACCAAACTTACAGCAACAGGAGTCTCTGGCTCTCTGGCTGAGTGAGATGGGGCTCCAAATAAGGACAGCTGGTAAAAAGCGGCTTAAAGAACAGTGAAATTTCCAGAGCCTCTTTACCACTACATGTTGCCCTTTTCCTTCTCTAGGAAAGATGGGGAGTTTATTTTCTAGAGAAGGTAAAACAGATAGTCTCTGGACTGACGGGCACCAGACATAGTTGCAGGTTTGAGTACTTGACTGGAAACAGGGGATACGTGACTGAATGCCCACAGAATGCTAAGTGGGGAGCCCCCACATCTTCTAGTCTCCAGACAGGAGAGTAGAGAAAATGTAGAAAGACCAATAGAAAAATCTAAAAACTGGACACAAGGATTCTCCAACAAATAGCCCACACAGCCCAACACTTAGTAAATCTCAAAATCATCAAGTCACATCCATACACAAAGTTCCCACTCAGCTGTTTAGTTCTCCATCCTAAATGTGAACAGACAACAAAGAATTTCCATAATCTCAGAAAAGCCACTAACACGAAAGATGGAGACTGAAACAAACAACTAAAAGCAGGCTGAAGAGAAACAGACAGTATGAGAAAAATAAAATTGGCCAAAAAATCATTAACATATCCAGAGAGATTATAAAAGATAATCTATTAGAAAAAGAACAGAATACTACAAAAAAAGGATCATTCAGAGAACCAAAATGAGCTCAAGGAAAATGAAACACATGAGAGCAGAAATACAAAACTCAGTAGGAAAGTGGAGAATTGAAATCAAGGAAATCTTCCAAAAAATAAAGCAGACTGTCTCTTAATAAAAGAATTAGAAGACTGGACCAGAATATCCAACATCTGCCTAAAAAGAGTTCCAAAAAGAGAGACAGATAAAATAGAGGAATGAAAAATTTTAAATCATTAGACAATTTTTCAAAATGGAAAGAGGAGAGCTGCCAAATCAAAAAAACAGTCTACTGAACTTCCAGTCCAGTGGATAAAACTGACCCTTCCCAAGGTGTGTCACTGTGAAATTTCAGAACACTGGGACATCTGTGGGAATCAGAATGATTTTAGATTCCTCAAGCCAACACCAGAAGCTAGAAAATGATGAGGTGCCTCAAAACTCTATAGAAAACTGATTTCCAGCCAAGAATTTTATAGTGAGCCAAGTTATCAATAAAGTGTGAACACAGTATAAGAACTTTTTCAGATGGGCAAAATATTAAAAAATATATCTAGCATGCATCCTTTCTTAGTAAGGATATGTACTAACAAAACAAGGAAGCAATATAATAAAGACAGACTTGAGACTCAGAAAAGAGAAGACCCAACAGAGGGAGAAGTGATGAAAATTCTCAGAATAGTGATAAAGGGAGATCCCTGGAAGTCAGCTGTGCACCAGGCTTGTGGGGACAAGTCTGTTCTAGATCAGAAAGACATCGCTCAAAAGATGAATATATTGTGAGGTACCATCCTCGTGCCTCCTGCTATTATTACCTTTTTAACCCAAGGAGGGTAGGGGGGGAATTAGCACTTTTTTTTTTTTTTTTTTTTGGTGCTTTCCATTTATTCAAAGAAATAGTCTATTTTTATCTGGGGGATTCACTTTAGTGATACTGGTCAATAATTAGTAAAAATGTTACTTGTGATCATACATATCCTATATTTCATATTAGAAATTCAAGGCAAACCATCACTATAGCTGCTGAAATCTCTTTTGGAATCAGGTATGTTAAAAGCCAAAAATAAAAAAGTAAAAATAAAGAAAAATTCCTTTCAAGTAGAAGATATGACATAGAAGAAAGCTTTTTAATTTGGGGGAAATGCGGGATCTGTTTTAAAAAGCAGATGAAATTATGGTCAAGAAAAATAAACACATATAAGTTTGCAGATTATTTTAGGTGATCTCATGGATGGATAGACAGATCTAGGTTTCTATCTAGAGAAATATTTCAGGGGACTTCTATCACAGGTGATTCTCTATAGTCTACTCATAGAACCCTCAAAGGTCTACTAAAATTAGGTTAGGAAATCCTATTAAAACACATACTTTCCATAATTACTTAGCTTGGGAAACAGGAGATATTATGTGTAACATCCTTCACATTTCTTCTCTCCTCCCTGTTTTCAGTGACATCACTCGAGTTAGAATTCAGTGACATCACTCGAGTTAGAATTC